GGCGGCTGCGCGCCTGGGACGCGGAGGCTGCGGGTGGCCGGGCTGGGAGCGTGTTCTCCAGGTGGTCACAGCGACAGAAATGCACACCTTCCTCCACCGCGTAGCAGGAGGCTGGCGGGTAGTTCCCAGGTAGTGTAAGTCTAGTCTCATTTTGAAAGCTCTTGTGGTCTCTCTTGCAGTGGGTCAGAGCCACTCCAAAGGAGCAGATGTGGATCAGAAGTCCTCAGCTTTTCATTCTAAATTGCCTCCGGCTTTTTACGTTTTCTGAACCCAGAAAACATCAAACATACACTCGTTGCAGATCAAGGGGAGAATTTTTTTAAAAAAATATTGATATGTCGAAAAATGTAGGAAGATAATCAAGCACTTTGTAGACTGGTGAAAGAGCAGGGTGTTGGGAGCTGAGTTCCAATTCTAGGTTTCCTAGAAATGCCTCCTCACTAGCTGTGTGCTTTTGGGCCAGTTGGTTGAGGTCTGTCAGCCTTCATCTCCTCATTTCTGTGAAGATAAAGCTAGCACAGAGCTAGTTTTCAGTAAATGGTAGGCGTTATTATATTATTATATAACAAATCATTATCAGCTTAAGCAAAGAAATGACATCTAATTTTAATGTCAAGAAAGAAAAAGAACTTTGAATTATTTCCGTAGTTTGTATCTTTTTATATCTTTTTTATGTATTTTTCAATTGTAAAAATATTCATAACATAAACTTACCATTTTAACCTTTTTTTATTGCGGTAAAATATGCATAATATAGAATTTATTATTTTAAGACTTTTTGTGAACAGTTCAGTAGCATTATGTACACTGACATTATTGTGCAACTCTCACCATTACCCATCTCCAGAACATTTTCATCATCTCAAATTGAAATTACATAAGCACTAAACAGTAACTGCCCCCTCAATCCTCTAGGAACCACTATTCTTTCAGTCTCTACGAATTTAACTACTCTCTGTACCTCATATAAGTGGAATCATACAGTATTTGTCCTTTCATATATAACATTTTCATTTAGCATGTTTTCAAGTTCATCCACATGTAGCATGTATCAGAATGTTCTTCCATGATATGCATCTTTTGATCTATGTCTTTTGTCTTATTCTGGGAACACCTGGTTCTTCTAATGTTGCTTAGGAGCAACTGGGTGACCTCCTTCACATGCCTCACAGGGCTTAGGCAATATGGCTCCTGCCCACATCTCCAGAGGCAGGTACTCCTTGTATTTCTCTTCCTAAGCTGCAGCTAAGTCAAACTACATCCATTCCCTAAAGAACAATGTGAGTTCCAGTGTATTTACTTCTGTTTTTACTCACATTCCCTCCATCTGGGATGCTTTTTCTCTCTCCCCTATTCCCCTGTCTCCTGAAGAACTCCTACTTTTCATTCAGTGTTTCGGCAAAACATTACCCTCTCTCTGAGTGCCTTCCTTCACTCTTCTCTCCACAAGAAGTGACATCTCTTTTTTGTCCCCCTGCCACCTCATCTTTGTGCATCCCCTTTACAGAGGCTCTGGAATTACATGTTTACATGTCAGTGAGCTTCCACTAGACAGTGAGCTTCTTGAGAACTGGGAGAGGCGGGGACACCTAGGACAGTTTAGATGTTTTTGTTAACTGAACCAATGAATGATGAAACCTTTTAGCAGTGAGGAAAATGGCTAAATTTCTTTCTTAACTGCTAGCGGCAGAAGGAAACTAACTAGAAAGTTATATTTTGAGAAACATTCCTTGTGAAAAAATTATTATAAAATATTAATGTCCTTCATGGCAAAAGCAAACAAGCGAAAAAGACATATTACATAAGTATCTTCTCTTCCTCTCCCACCCCAACTCCCTCTCAGAGGAAGCAATTGCTAGCAGTTTGGAGGCTATGTTTAGAGCTATTTTCTGTGCATATATGAACACATACCTACATATAAATATTTATGTACATATTTTATACATTTTAAACATGCATGGAATGAACCAGGTCAGAACACTGATCTTCAAACCAGACACTGCCTCTGACACTAATTTTGTGGCCTTGGGCAAGTTATTTGATATTACTGTACTTTAGTTTCCTCATCTGTAAAATGGGGATAACAATAGTATGTACTTCAGAGTGGTGGTGAGAATTAAATGGGTCAATAATGGTAAAGTACTTAAAACATAGCACACTTATAAACACTTTATAAGTGATTATAATAATAATTACTCTTAATTATTATTATCATTCAACCTCTTTTCACTTAGTATTCCTTGAAGGCCTTTCTGTGGCAATATAGAAACTCTACCTCATTCTTTTTAAAAATGACTGTAGAGAATTCCATCAGCTAGATGCATCATAGTTCATGTAATGCTTCCTATGAACATTTAGGTTGTTGCCAGTTTTTCGGTTCATGAACAATTCAGCCTTGATTATCCTTGTCCATTCAACTTCGTACAGGTATAAGTTTCTAGAAGTGGAATTGCTTAATTAAAGACTACAGTTGATTTTTTAAAGTAGTAGAATTAACAACTTGATCTCTAAGGTGGTTGTACCAATTTTACATTCCCATTAACACTATGAAAATAAAACTATCTTTTAAAAGTCACATGACAACAGTGGAGGTCACTAAAAGAGGCCAGATAATAGTTCAAGTGCTGCCCTGTGGAGTATGAAATGCTAAGTGTAAATTTCTGCAATAAATTAATTGCAGTTACACAAAATGAAATAAAAATAAATCTCCTAAAAGTACTGGTCCAAGCAATTACTGTTGTTTTTCTAAGCATGATTGCATTATTGGTTAACAAATATTTAAGATCTATCACAGACAGGCCAAGAACTGCGTTGAATTTTCTCAACACCAGTAATGATTTGTGGACCTTCGGTAAAATACTTTTAAGGCTAACAGAGTCAAGCATTCTCAATAGGTTCCCATAAAGATAAGATAGGTGCCCATACTGTAGTAGGGTGTTTATTATAGGTATTTAGACTTGTAGGTATGTTTAGGTATTTTAGGTACTTGAACCTGTTTCTTAACCTCAGTAATATTAATCACAGAGTTATATGTGGGGGATTTAGATATTATTTGATAAAATTGAATAAATATTGGACCATATCTTAAAAAGCTGTATAAAATTGTAAAGACTGGATTTAAATATTCTCAATGATACACAAATCTGTTTGGGAATCTCAAAATATATTGTACATCTTGCTAGGTGGAATTACTAGCAGAAAAATCTTTGTAATTAAATCATGTCTTTTAATCAAAACATTGCTTTAGCCATGATGTATCTCCATGAATGAAATTGATTCTATACACTATTTGTTAACATGACTCATATTATTTCTTTTCCCTGCACTTTTCACTTCCCCTTGGTTCACTTGCTCTTTATACTGGAATTAATATAGGCCTCTTTTGGTGTTCACCTTCTTTCACCAATTTCTGTTTCATTGCCAGGCTAGATCATACCCAATGTCCTGCTGTGTTGCATCACTAATTACATTATAACCAGGGAACAAAGATTATCTGTGTTTTCTATTTGAACAATGCTTTTAAAATTCTGAGAAGCAAAAAGCATGAAAGGAGCATGGGGCTTCTCTATAGCGCCTCACACTTCTCTATGATGGGCTGGAAGGAATGAACTTATTGACCATATGATGAGTCTGGCCATGTACAACTGAAATTCATTGTCTCATTTCATCCTTACCTGCATAGGAAGAAGGTGAATGAAACAACTAATGAACAGGAAAACAAGAGTCGAGAGGGAGTATTCGGCATATCCTGAGGCCTGCAGCTCTAAGTGACTGTATAGATTTAGCCCAAGTCTGTGCTCTTCTACTAGACAATCCTGACTCATTTTGACTAGGTGGACATACTTTCTTTTAAAAGATATTCTTGCAATGCCACAA